CTCTTTCTTTTCACCCGACCAAAGGAACGTGCTAAGTGTTAGCACATTGATACTTAAAATGTGAAGCCCAAACTGACATGCAGCGTGCCTATGGAGCTGGAGCAGCGTCTGCAAGCTCAGTGCGTGCTTGCCTGCAGTGGAGCTTGTAGGAGCCTCCTGCTCCATGGGTCACTCGTGACAGTGCTTGCTGTTATCCTCCCAGCCCTGTCCTGCCTGCCCTGTTCATGCCTCTAATGAGGAAATATTTGGTCTTCTGCATCACGTTGGCGATCCCTTTCTTTCTCACTGTCTTCAGAAGTTGTTTCCTCGTCCGTAACGCTTGCAAGACTGTACTTCTGTTCTCATGCTGGATTGCAGAAAGTGTCACCCAGGTTCACCCTTATCGTTTCTCAGCTGACTTCCTCATCTTCGGCCTTGCTGTTCTTGCGTCCAATCTGTACAGAATTGCCATAAATTCAGATAGTCCCCCTCCMTTTAAGTCATTTAAGTTGCATTTGAGTTTGTCTTTTCCAGCCCTACCTTTACATCGCAGGTCTGCTGTTTTGTGCCTTCTGCGCAGGATTTATTCACAAAATCGTGGGAATTGGCTCATTTCATGCTTCCTCATATGCAGCTTCTAAAAGTGGCAAAATATGAAGCTGATGTGGCTACTCATAGGTCTGCATTTGGATTTGACCTTAAAAGGCAGAATAGCATTCAGGTGAGCTGTGCCACCCCACGTTGACTTGTGCCAACAAGGAACACTCTCAGTGCCTGAACTTGCCTTGGGTTTTGTCTTTACTTACGTGGTGTGGCTTATCATCAGGGAAATTATATGTTCTTTGAAGCAAATGGGTAATTTATAGCACGTTTATGCATGCCTGTCTTTTCTTCCTAGATTTACAAAAAAAGTGAAAAGGCTGCTGGTACATCACGAGGCTTTCCAGTTTGTAGTAGTGGTGTTTCCTTGCCCCTGGCCGAGCACTGGGAGCTTGGGAAGGGAGCTCTTCTAGCGCCAGCAGCTCCACGCTGGCTGCTCTCTGGTGTTGCTTTTTCAAGCTTAACCTACTAATATTCCTGCTTCTGTTGTCCTGTGTGGGAATAGCTGAATAGTAATGTATTTCTTCCTAGGATTTCTTCGTTCTCTGTGCTGGCTGGACTGCACTAAAGGCGGAGTAAGGTCTTATTCTGTTTAATTTGAATGGGAGTAATTACTCACTTGGTCGTAAGAAAGGCCRGATGTAAAGTATATCCAATTGTGAGGGATTAAATCATAGAACCTGAAAACCTCATGAAAACAAGATGACCTGTAATTGGCTAATAAGGTTGTTAGAGATCTGCATGGATGCTTTGTTGAACTAATTTTATTACCTGTAAGTGAAGGAAAACGATCCTCTTTGGGAAGGGAGGAAGTACACCATTATACAAGCTGCAGATATCCCAATATGTGTGACCTCCACAGCGTGGAAGGGGCATTTCTTCTTTGGAAAAAGCTGGATTGTATCCATTTTACTGCTTCTCTCTTGAATTAAGCTCCGTTAGAGAGCACTAACTGTGTTTTAGTTTCGATTTGCTCAGAGGTTTTGATCTAGATCTGTATAGACTCTTAATTTGTAAAAAAAAAAAAAAAAAAAAA